GATTCGCGTTCGTCTCTTGGAATCTGCTGGTTTCAACGCAAAGGTGGGGACTCAACATAGATCCACCATAAAACAAGACATGGATTAACTGGACCGAAGGAATAGCATCTTGCACACATGGACTGATAAGGTGAAACACTGGAAAACACAGAGGTCAAATTGTCGATTGTCAACCCGGCATTTATGAACATGCGGGGGGGGGGTGTATTCCCCGAAAAGTGATCCGGATCAAATATCCGCACTACATTCGGTCAGGCATGTCTCGCGCCTGGCCTTTGTTTGGCATTGACGCTGATGTCAGTGCTGCCCCTGTGTCACGATAACTGGTTTGCTTTGCGTCACTTTCAGGCGCTCCGATTGGTGTTGACTCAGCGAAAGCTGCCATGCACCAGCTCCCAACGGCGCTGTCGGCTGTTCCGTCCCCAGCTTGCAGACTCGGACCCATTTTAGGTAAATGGGGAGAACCCCAACCCAGGGTCCAAGTACCTCCTGAGGATGGCTTTTGGGGGGTAAAAAGTGGTCTAAGTACCTCCTTCGAAGGTACTTGGACCCTCTGCGAATGGTTGGCTTGTCTTTTTTGAGTTACCCAAATGTTTGCGTGTGTGGCTTAGGGAAAGCCAGAGGAAAACCGAGATCCATTTTGAGGGGATCCAAAGACACAGGTTTAGTTTTAGGGTTTAGAATTTAGCCATGGCCTTCTGCAATCATCCTGAATCAGGGTTGTGGGATCAAGGGTTCCTCCCCACTGTGATGCTTTTGGGAATGCCCCTCTATATGAACACACTAGTTTTTGGGAAGCCCCTTCCGTTGTATCATTTCTCACCCAAAATTGCAGACTGGGAAATGGAACCAATGACTAAAACCTGTGTAACCCTAGCGATTGAATTTTAGGAGCCCTTCAAATCGAAGCCCTCGTTCTGCCTTGGCCAACACCCGACTCAAGCAGCTTCAAGGAGGACTGTCAACAAAACCTGGCAAGAGACGGCTGTCCCAATGTATTATTCACTGTTGTTGGATCATGTGTTTTTGTGTTTTAGCTTTTTGGTTGTTTTCATTTGTAGGTTTTGTGGCTGCAACAAATCAGTCAGTTGTTTGCAACCATACCAAGGGTTGTGAAGTATTGCCTGTTTTAAAAAAGGTACAGGTAGCCCTTGTTTCCATGTTGCCTGCACACCGAACTGCAGAAACCTAGATCCCCGGCGTCCAAATGAGTGCGCTCAAAGGCGGAATGCAACTGAGCGGCGCCCGAAACCGATTCCTGTTGGCTATTTTGTAGGTGGTTCTACGTATATTGGGAGTATTGTTGAGGGTACTCATTTGTAGGTCGATTTAAAGGGCAAAGGAAACTCCCATTGGGGTCACCCCACTTTGACACAGACACTAAAAAATATACAGCAAGCCTTTATTGCCATGTTGAGGCCAAATGTCAACGACCGAAACTCACTCAAAGGAACCAGGACCTGACAATACTAGGTGATGACCTTGTGGGACCTTGACGAAGCATGCTGACATGAATCTTGACATGGAAAAACCGGCACTGCTGGTTTTCTGCTCGCCAAAAAATCAAATCGGGGTCGATCGGTTTGAGGTGAGCGAGTTGCTCTCGCACTCTCACCACACGCCAGCCTCGCAGAGCTTTTTCGGATGCGTTGAAAGCTGGGCTCTGGACCCCCAAACGACCCATAACTTCCATTTGCTTAAGTTTTTTTTCTGCTGTTGGTTTTGAAGGGAATCTATGACTACTGGACATATTTTTTCCAGGGGGCTTAAGCAAATGGAAGAAACAAAAAAGGAGAAAAAAAGAGGAATTCAGCCCACACATACGTTTGGGGCAATAGCCAATTTTTCCATGGTAGTTTGAGGGTCTGTGCCCTTTGGCAATCCGCAAGATCCTCAGCTTGGGTTTACGAAAGGGGTCGCCTTTGGGGTTTTCCAAGCGGGATTAGGGAGTAGGTTTGGCCAACCCTCCATTTTGAACTGCACAGAGAGCTTATTCACATCCATTTGCTTCAGGATAGTTGTTTTAGTCCAGTTGGTTTCAATGGGAATCTATCTCTTGAGGGAATGTGTCACTGGACATATGTTCCTGTTTTTCCAGGAGCCGACGGGTTCATGGAGGCTGAAGTTTTGTTTTCTCCCAAGTCCTCGGTTGATTTTTTTTGATTGATCTAGAAATGTAACTGAGTCCATTTGCGGGTGATCCAAAGTTGCCCTTTTGTTTGCTTCCCCAGAATTAGCTCCCCTTTTTGCTTTTTTTACTTTTTTGGGGTCCCTTTGTTTTCCACTACCCAGGCGAAAAGTATATTTCTTTGCTGGGGTCCTAATTCCAGCCTAGTTTGTTATTTGATCCAAAACAGTATACTGCCTGAACTCAAACCAATGTACTGCCTGAACTCAAAACAATATACTGCCTGATATATTGCCTGAACTCAACATGGGTTTTTCCCAACAGCGCTGTAAATCTGTTGCTTCGGGTTCAGATCGTGTGTTTTTTTGAGGGTACCCCTTTTCGGGTGGTTAGGACAAGCTCCAATTTTAAGTTTCCACGATTTTGAGACAACCCCATATACAAAAATATATATTTATATATATATGTGGCTGTCGTTGTCAAAACCAATGGGATACCATTTTGGGGTAGGTGAATTCACCACCCATTTTAGAACCTATTTTAGTGGGGATTGGGATGTTCAGGGGTACGGGCTTTTGACCCATGGCAATTTGGGAGTTGGTCCAAGTGGGGGGGGGCCGACAAGGCCCCCTTTTGGTGGGTCTATGTGGATATTTCAAGCAAAGGAAACCAAAGGAATCCCAAAGGCCAATGTACGAAATGGACTTTTTTGAGAACAGAAAATCCGTTTTTTTTCTCCAATATGGTTCCCTGGCCCAAAGTTCTACCCATAGCCATACGTCCTGAGGATACATCCGGGCAGGTTAAAGAATCACTTGTTCCAGTCAATTTAGAGGGTCGGTTCCTTGTAAAGCTGGCGGGTTTGGGAGTATCCCTTTCGTTGGGTGCTAAATAGCCCAACATTTTAGTTGTTGCAATGCCACGTTGCTTGATATAGCGCGCTAAATTTGATGTCACACCCGAACCCTGCCCCCCAGTGTTGTATATTATCACCAATGGGTTGGGTAGTTTGTATTTGTTCAATACTCGATTCAACACCCTATTTGGGTCTGTCTTTTCGTGGGCGGCCAAGTTGTTTTTGGTTGGTTTTTCTTAGGGAAACCAAAAGGACACCACCCATTTTTTGGGGTCCCCTAAAAAAGACCCACCTATTTCCGAGTTGCCCAGTGGTTCATTTCTTTCTTTCTTTTTTTTAGGAGCCCTTTTTGCAAGACAGTTGCTTGGTCACCGAGCGATGAGCTCGGCGCGTCACATGTGTGCAAGAAGAACGTGAACCCTTCGACGAGGTCGATCCTAAGGTGCAAGAAGTTGTCAAGATCCATCTCCCAGGATCCTGATGCGTACGATATGCCTACTGGCAGCCCAGAGCCAACCACGGTGCCTATCTTGCCAATCGAGACCACTTGCCACTGGAGACCGAGAGGCCGCCGTCGGCTTGGAGCATCGGCGCTGTCTACAACGATGAACAGCTGAGCAACGCAATATCGACGAGATCACTGCGATGCTCCCGGGACAGCGATGCCTCATGGCCTTACGCCGCACAAAGCCAGCCAAAGAAAGAGATCAACCCAATTTGATGATCACCATGATGATGATCACGAGGATGATAATGATGCTGCTGCTGCTGCTGGTGCTGATGATGATGATGATGATGATGATGATGATGATGATGATGATGATGAGCATCATGATGATGATGTTGCTGATGATGAATCGTCGGTTAGGCTCATGTACAAGCCACCCTTCCCCTGCGCCTCTTTTGCAAGGGGTCGGCGGATGTTTCGTGATGCCTCCCATGGCAGGAAGGGCTGGCAGACCGCGCGCTTCTGCGACTTCCCGCAGGAGGCTTGCGGGACCCCAGTTCCCTGTCCGGTTGGGAAGCTTCACTGTTCTTGGCTCAAGTTGTTTAGCTTTTTTGGCTTGTTGGCTCTGTTATCATTTTTAGGTGTGGGGGCTGAAAAAAAAACAGTATCCTTTTCGTGCAACCATACCAAGGGTTGCGAAGGTAGGTCTCAAATATGGCGACCACCAAAAAGGTTGGCTTCCTTTTGGCTGGGTAAATCAACCCCAAAAATGGTACCTTCTAAAGAGACACACACACACACATGTTTCATCTTTGAATCTTGACCAAGCTTCTACCATGGCCCCAGGTTGAAATTTCAGCCCCCCTTTGGCCTCTGAATAAAGGCCGCAAAAATGCTAGCCCCGTTTAGGGTCACTTGTAAGTGGGTCAGATCCTAGGTTGCGAACAACTTGCGAGCTAGGCTAAAAACCCAAGTGGGCACCCCCCTCCAGAAAAGCTGGGTCTCCCAGATCTTATCTACGTTCATATTAACGTTAAAAAGAAACACTGTCCATGTGTACATATATTATTTACAGACGTCAAACTGTTGCCGGTTTTGAAGTCAGAAGCTAGGGCCAATTCTGGGGTGACTTTGAGAATGGTCGAAAGGCCCCAGTTGTTTCCTGTTTTGACTGGTTTCTCCAACTGGTGGGCATTCGTTTGCGGGTTTCACATGGGCGTTTGCATGCGTGGCAGGTTCCCACTACAGCTGGGTGAAAGTACATGGCAAAATTCCCCCATACTTTGGTTTCGTCCTCCCCCTTAGCCACCTAAAGGGAATTGTGTGAACTACGGTCATCCGTGGTTTCCCTCAAAACAGGCACACCCGCGTCGCACGTGGGTGCCTTTTTTTAAAGCGACCCTCTCTGGATGGTTCTAAAGGGACACCAAACGAAACACCACCCATTTTGTGGCTCCCTTGAAAAAGACAAGCCACGCATGCAACACGTCAGGAGCCTTGAGATACCTCTGCCGCCTTCGTTGCAGTTGGCTCAAAGCGGCCGCACGATTCCCAGGGAACGCGGAGCTATGGCGGAGGTGCGCGTTGGAATCCTCAGCACTGCATCTATCGTGGGAAAGGCCGGGAAGTAGCCAGTGGCGAGTGGTGGAGGCTTGAGCTTCAATGCGGTTGTTTGAGTTGACAGGGTTCTGTTTGACAGGGTTCCCATTTTATTTCATCATGTTTGCATGAAAACGCATCACCTCTTGGAGCGATTTTAGTGTGAGTGTCATTTTGCCGGTGGGATGTTTGAAGGGACCCTTGTTCATGGCTGGTCCTTGATGTGATTCGGGCCCTTTGGCCTTTTGGAGACAAGTTTGACTTGTCCACTGAACCTACAACAGGTTAAAGCGTTTGTTCAGGGGCAAAGAGCAACCCAGACAGAAAGACTAAACAATGCTAAACAAGCTCCCCAGGCCCATTGCCCAAATCCATGTTGGAAAAAGGCTGTGCCCAAAGCAAATGCGATTCTTAATGGCCTTGCTCGAAAAGGAAGCCCTGATTCAGGCGGTGATTATGACTTATAAGCAAGTGCATTGGTTTCCTATCGGCTTCCTGTTGAAGAGCACCAAGGGGTGGGGGAGTTTGTTTGTTGTTTGGGCAGCGGCAGGGGTCTCAACAACAAGTTCGGGGGGGAGGGGGTATGACTTGTTGTTCGGAGGGGGGGGTTGAACTGTTGTTCCGCCCCACTCCAAATATGAGTGAGGGTCAACAGCCTGTGTCTTTCTTGGCAGCTACCTCCGCAAGTCAGGGGGTTGACATCATACCGGGTATTGGGTGTGTTGGGAAGTACCTGGGTGTTGGATTCGACAAGCTAGTAAGTTGTTAGTAAGCTAAGTTATGACCCACTTAAATGTCCCGGTGAATGTGGGGTTTGCCTTGTTATTGGGTGGGTTAGAAAGAAAATGTGGCTAACCGCAGACACTAAACCAGGCGAATCGAACATCCAAGCACGGACTTCTAGCAGGGCAATCTGCTACCCTCCAATAAAAGATGAAAAACCGGCTCTTTTTTTTGTTTTAGTCCAAAGCTGAAACCGAATCTTCACTGCTGTTGGCAGGTTTTTTAGTTGTTTTGTTGTTCTTGTCATTTTCAGTAGAGGCTGCAAAAAACAGTCAGTGTTTGGCAACCATACCAAGGGTTGTGAAGAGAATGGGGAAGCTCCAAAAGGAGGAAGCCCAAACCCAAGCTATAACCCACGTAGAAGTTTTCTGAGGGAATATGGGTTCAGTGGGAGCCCCGTCGCCCCAAAAATGATACCGGGAGGCAAAAACCAAGAGTTTGTTGCTAGCCCATACCGCTTGGGTTGTGACAACAAATCAATTACAGGACCAAAGCTGAAACCTGCCCAAAAACCTCCCACCACAAGCCAGGGCTCCATGGGCCCCCCCATGGCCCCGTTGTCCAGGTGCTGCCTGGGCTGAAGCATGGCATGACTGTGGTGGGTGTCGCGTCCAGGGACCACAAAAAGGCCCAGGAGTTCTGCGCGGAGCACAGCTGCGGCGCCGCGGCGGGCGTCGAGAACAAAAACGACGCACTACAAAAATGCGTAGGGTTGGGGGGGGGGGGTGCCATGGACACCTAGAGTCTATTTTCAACCATGAGCCCTAAAAACCAATACCCCAAACCATACGAAGGGGGGGGGGGGGGTGTTTTTTTTTTGGGGGGGTTGGAAGCCGTAAAACCTGTCAGCTCATTGGCTGAAATGAAGTTTATGTTGTTTTATTGTTGTTTCTGTTCCAGGAGCCTTAAGCCAATGGAGGAAAATGGCTGGTGTCCGTCTGGTTTCTCTCTAAACCAGCCAACAAACTCCCTCCAAACCTCAGCCGAAACATGGCGCCGCCTTTTGCATTGCCAGACAGGCTTACCTTGTTTGGTGGCTCCCAGCCATTTCCTCAGCCTTTGAGATCCTTTTAGTGTTTAGTGGTGTCCGAATTTGGCCCACCGAAAGTTAGTCACGTTTCGCGGGGATCTGAAAACGGGCAGCCCAGATGTTCGATCTTTGGGCTTCTTCCAGCACCCTTAGACTTTGGGCATCCCGCAAAGAAAAAAAAATGACCGTAGCTTTTTCTCACCACTGCCGTGTTTGGCGAACATTTCGATCTTCGGACTGGTTGGTCTTCAAGCACTTCTCGAGTTCCCGGACTGGATCCTTGGGAACATTCGAGTGGCAAGGCTCGGACCCCCTCGAAATGGCACCTGAACATCGAAATGGCCCTAAAAAGCGGTGGGTGTGGTTGTTGGTGTCTTTGTAACTGACCCCAAAAAAGGGCATACAAAGAAAGACACGATCAACTCCGAAATCCCAAGCTGGGTCAAAGTCTGGCCCAGATCCAGGTTACCTGCTATGGAGGGGTTTCTTCAAGAAGCTGATGAACTCTGGAAGTCTTAAAGCGGATTTTGAACCAGATTTTGTGTCAGCAAGTTTAGCTCACGCCAACCCCTCAGTGAACACCCCTGAATTTGGGTCAACGTTTGGTACAAGGTCCCGTGGGACAACGGGTTTTGGAGCTACCTTATAGGGAGATGGGAAGAAGCTGAAGTGTATCTGCATATGTTTGCACATGCCTCGTCATGGAAGCTGTTCAACTCCATGCTCGAGCCAAAAACGTGTTTTGAAACGGGCAAGTGCTTGCATTGCAAGCGCTCGAAAGCTGGCGAGGGATTCAACTTTTGAATGTATGGGACGGGGGATATTTGTTGATGGTACTTTTTGTTTGTGATTTTGAAGGGAAACACAAGGAGAACCACCATTTGGGCGGTCCGCTCAAAAAAGACACACCCATATCTACTCGGACGAGTTTATGCTGATAGGCGGACACTGATACTTGTGCATTGCAACAGCAAAAGTATCTAGCAACGGAGAGTACTATATAGTCGTGTTTGGGGGGTCCCTCAAAAATACCTCCCCAAAAAAAGAACAACATAATGAACGCTGATGTAAAAGCGGGTATTCACAGCCTCAGAGTTTCTCAGCCCAGGCGAGGGAATGCTGTACGATGAAATGCTGGAGAGATCCGACGTGGATGTGCTGTACATTCCTTTGCCCACAGGAGGGGATTTGCAATCAAATCCGCAGCGGAGTGCTTTACATACTAGCCACCCTGGCACCCACATGGTTCAACAACTAGGGCCCCCAGCTAGGTGCCCTGTTAACCTTTTTTTGGGGTACCCTTATTCTAACCTCTCTACTGGAGGACCCAGACAAGTAGTGCAGAAGGAGATTGCGCACTTTCATGTTCAGGCTGCTTTTCCGAGCTGAGGGACCAGCAAAAGAGGCGCCAGCTCTCCTCTTCAAAGCTTTTTCAGGAGTCAAGTGGCCAGTCTGGTAGACCCCCTTGAAGGTCGGGGCATGGAAGCAGCAAAGCATCGAATGGCTTTGCTTCCCCTCTTTGCTCGGGGAAGCGGGTGGGTTGACATCTTTTGGCTTCCGAAGGTTGAAAAGCTTTCGTCTTCAAAATTACTCCTTTGCAGGGTAGCAGATTGCGAGACCGTGCTCGGATGCTCGTTGCCAGGTGAGTGTTTGCAGTCCGGGGTTAGAACCCCATGCAAGCCCCGAATCACAAGGTCCAACCCGCTTCCGGGGGACCTCGAAGCTGCCAAGCAGGCCCGAAGCGACGCGATGCAAATCAAAACAAGTCAGCGGTTTGCATACCAATACCCCACCAGACTCGCCTTCCAAAGAGAGAATCGTCTGGCGGTACAATTTTGAGCTTCCATGTTTGTTGGGTAGGTTTGCTTTTGGGTAGTTCCAGCGCAAAACAGCGACGTCACACTCCTTCAAATGTGCTCGTGGCTATGAACCCACCAACACCAATTGGCCCCGCAAGGGAGGCAATTTATTCGTGCTTCTCCATTAATCAACATGTCTCCGTCCACGTCAGCAAAAGAAACAGGTCTTCGCGTCCTTCCGCAACAGCTATCAAAACAAGACCAATCCAAAAAAGTCCTGGAGGTTTCTCAAAATTGTGTTTTTGTTGTTTCCTCTCTCTTTTTTTTTGGGGGGGGGGAGGACCCCATTTTGAGAAACACACTCCAAGATGCCAAAAGTTCTACCCTCTTTCCAAGTCCCCGTTCAGTGGAGCTGGCCCTGTAAGTGGGTAACCCAGGCTTGACCACTTGCTGAAAACCTAGTGGCTCACAGCTTAACCTGGCGAATCAAACATCCAAGTAGACTTTGGTACCTGTTTTTTGGTTGGTTGTAAAGGGAAACCACAAGGAAAACCACTCATTTTGGGGCATCCCCTACAAAAAAAAACATAATACCCATGTACCACCCTACATACCCTACATTCCCTACACACCCTACACATCTTTTTTCTTGGTGTGGCGGGTTCAACGAAGAAATCCATTCGGAGCACCTCAGGACTGAGGAACGAGAAGATCCTAGCTGCCATCGCCAAGGGCAAGCACATCTACTCAGCGACCCAACTGCCTTTTGTCGTTTATTTCAAGGGTTCCCCGCTTGTGGGGACCTCTCCTTTGCCCACTCGGGGGATGCCATCGTGAGCCATCAAGACTAGGGTCGAGGAACGTTAGGGCCCGCCTTAGCAGGGTTGTGGGATCAAGGGGTTTATCCCCACTTCTGTGAGACCCTTTTTGTTGTACCACAGAAGCGGTCATTTCAGACAGCCGTGCCTCAATGGAATCCCGCAGTTGGATGCTTTTTTGGGGGGTTCTTCCATTTTTCATTCCCTGCCAATCGCACCAGCCAGATGACTCATATTTGCCCTGAGTTCATGGACTTCAAGCACTTTTTGGGCTTGGACCATTTGAGTGGCAAATGACAGTTTGGCCCGTTTTTTGGCCAATCAACTCAGGTTTGTCAAACGTAGGGGCCCTTTTTGGTATCCTCTTTAAGTGGTGACACCAGGCGGCACCAGGGTCCAAAAAGGGTCCATAGTGTTGACCACTCCCCTTTGGGGAGGGCTGCCTCTGTTTGTCTTCGGAGGAGTTGTCCATCTTGTTTGCGGGACAAAAAGTCAACCATCTAACAACAAGCCTAGGTCCCCTAGTAGTGCCCTTTCTCACCAACTTGTTTGGTTGGGTTCCCCTACTAAAATAGACGAAACAGACAAATGTTGGTACCCTTATTCCAACCTCTCTACTGGAGGACCTAGAAGCAGTTGTCTCTTTCATTTTTTCCTCTTTGAGCACCGAACTGCCCAGCTTTTCGCCTCCGTGGAAAACCACAAGGGTGTTTTTGAGATGCCTTGTGGACGCCGGGGCATGTCAATTTGTATAGAGGTCCAAACGGAAGAATTATGTGCCACCAAAATTGCTTAGCACACCAAACCCGACTATTGTTGGCATCCTGTTAGCCGGTGCTTCGGTTCCTGCCTGGTTTAGGGAGTAACATATTCCCTACAAAAACCCTGGGCATCTTTAGTATACAGAAGCAAAAGTCAATGGGTGAAATGGTCGCTGCTCAATTGAGCCACAATCAAACCTCGGGTAGGGAGGGAATGTCCCAGCCACAATCGCCGCCTTGGCTCTTAATCTGATACTTTTTGAGGGGTTCACTTGTTGACTACCCCAAGTTCAACTTAACCCAAGGGTTCTCGTTTTGGGGAGAATGAATCACCCTAGGTTTGAGTCTACCCTGGGGTAGTCAAACAGTGGAGCCCTGGCAGAAGTCAGGAGAAGCCCATGGGAGGAACCGCCAAAGAACTCGAAGATCTCATCAACGCCTGCGCCAGCGACTCGACCACGCTCCGGGTCTGGCTTCGATATGGGCGTGTCCCCCACGGCTGGCTTTAATCCCTTTTGTTTTTTTTCCGTAGAACCACCAAACATGAGGTACCCGAAACAAAGTGCAACCCCATAATGGGTGTGTATTTCTTTGGTATTTATGGATTCTAGGGGTATCCTTTTGGGTGCTATATTATTTAGGGATTGTTTCTCCCGCTGGATTTGGATTTTTTCCAGTCCCCCGGACAAGCAAGCAAGCAAGCAAGCACACAAGTAAACAAGCAAGCAAGCAAGCAAGCAATGAAGCACCAAAGCCCCCCCGCTATACTTTTTTCAACACCACCTACCCTACACCTGCCCCGACCCACCTCAGACCCTACTAACCGCACCCCAAACCTACCCTTAACCTACCCTTAACCACCCTGAACGTGCCAAACGAGCCTTGAACCCTAAAAACACGCACCCTAAACACCCGATCCGAAACCTCACTAAACACGCCTTTATCCTCAATTCAACCAACCCAACCAACCCAAACTCCATCTGAACCCAGCCTAGACACATCCTAAACAGACCCACCTAAAGCAACCGCAAACACACCCTAGACCAGCCTCAAGCCGAATCTAAACCCACCCATAAACCCACCTACATACCCGCACGCCACCCTAAACCCACAACTCTGAACCCCTAAGCCCACCCTAAACCACCCTACACCCACCCCGAACCTAACTTACACCAACCCTGAACGGACCCCGAAGCCCACCCTAAACCAATCCCCCAACGCACCCTGAAGCTGAACCCACCCCAAAAACCAAAACCAAAACCCGCCCTAAACCAACCCTGAACACCCCAACCCACCCTACAAGAGCCTAGATGCATGTCACTCAGCTTGCTTTCATTCTCCTGTCCTGTTTCACTAAGGCACCCAACACGTATCCTCTTGAAGGTGGCGGTTCATGTACCAAGGACGTCCTGGATGACGGTAACCCCGAACGCACCCCTACACCCATCCTACCCTAAAGCAATAACCTGCCCACCCCAAACCCATGCTAAGCCTAGCCTACCCAACTAAACCCAACCTAAACCTACCCGAAGCCTACCCTAAGCCTAGGACCTTGAACCGACCTTGAACCCCGCAAGCCCTAAACCCAACCAACACAGAACCCCACGCTAAACTACCAGAGCCACACTACATCCACCTTAAACCCACCTTAATCCTTGACTAAACCAATCCTGCGCCAACCCAAGCTCCATCTAACCCTCTACCTAAGGCCCCAAATCACCCCAACCAAACCCACGCCAAACCCACCTGAACCAGGCCCACCCCGAACCCCCAACCACCCTGAACCCTAAGCGCGCCCTAGACCCGCCTTAAACCACTCCAAAGGTGACCGGAAAATGGAATGGATAAAAAATCCCAAAAGCGCTGGAAAAAATCCCCAAATAAAAGGTCGGCCTATCCTTTTTGGGTTGGTTGCCGAAAGGGAAACCAATAGAAGCCGTCCTTTTCGATCCCGGTCCCTCCAATTTGATGACATACCCCAAATATGGGGCTCACCAATTACACGCGTGTTCTCCCATGATCATGAGGTCATTTGGTGACCCTACTACATCCTTATTCCAGTTACAAGGGCCCTTATAGTACGGACCACATCATGTTCGCACAAGGCAGGTGGTTTGTGTCATGCGCTGGGAAGGCGATGTGCAACGGAGCCAACCCCCTTTTCTTTGAAGCAGCTGCAGCAGTGGACCGATTTGGCTTTGGCACCCTTCTACCTTTTTCAGAAGACAGATTTGGCTTTTGGAAAGGGGGGGGTGAACTTTGAAGGGGTTGATGACAGGAAAACAAAAGGGACAACCATCCATTCTGCGGGTTTTCCCTGGAGAGGCTTCGAAAAGTCGAAAAGTCTAAGTCAAGATGCCTCCAGTTGTGGAGGGGTTTGCCATTCTTTGCCAAGTCAGCCCGGGTACTTATGCGTGCCCTAAAGCCTATGCAGGTTTTCTGCGAACCCAAAGACAACTGGGGGCAGAACTTTTCAACAGGGGGCAAACACAAGTTGAAAGGGGACTTTTGCGAACCTTGACCTTGCTTGTTTCAGTGAGCTTGTTGTGTGTTTTTGTGTTTTACTCATCATTATTATTATGTCAAAAGTTGTTTAATTCAACATGGGGGGGGAAGTTCAAGCTGTCATGTTCATGGAGTTTGGACGAAGACCATTGCCCATCAAATTCTGTGGATGTCTCTGATCAACGTGTTGGACACCATGATCCGATGCGCACACTGAAGTTTTAGCTAGCCTCCGGCAGCGCAATGCGAGGTGTCCTTGCTGCGCCCTAGATTGATCCGGCAAATGTTGAGGTACGCGCGAGGTAGGCACAATTATCCTACTTACCACGCCTTGCATGTGGCTCTCCTCAGATTCTTGACTGGTAAGGCTCTTTCTTACAAGAGGCTTGCTAACCACTAAAAGTTAAACTTTTAGCACGGGATTTGAGGACAGCCCAGTAATGTGGTGCCTGTGTCCGAACATTCCTTTGAATGGACACCGCAGTTGCACGAATTGCCACCAGGCTGTTTCAGCTGCCTTCCAGGGGGTTAAGGCTTCTATAGACATAGATGGGTTCCACTGTATGGTTTTAACTCTAGATGAAGCAACCCCGATTAGAAGGGGAGTGGGTTATTTTAAAGCCCCTCCAAAAGTGGTATCTGATTCCAACCACCCAACCCAGTGACACCGCCCAATCAATAAATTGGGGTTGAATATGGGGTCAACGTTTTTTGCCCGAATCTAAACCAGGGCCATGGATTTGGCCAAAAGGTCACCGACACATCTAAGAAGCAAAACCCATCACTAGCCTTGCGGGGCTTGCACCCGAGACGCCACCCCGGCGGCTTCGAGCCCGGAAAACCAGGAGTTTAGAGGCCCAATATTTTTGAGAAAAACCCCTCCGTTTGTGGTTCTCCTTTTGGTTTTCCATTGAAACCACCAAACAAGGGGGTACCAACTAAAAGAAAAGACGAGCCAGCCCATGTCATGCATTTTGCGAACGGAAGAGGCAACTTGTTCAGCTTGCTGATGCGATTTCTGGAATCAACTTGCTGGCTCTGGGAATGAACTGTGGGATCCACTCAGCTTGCTCGTGTCTTTTTTGGGTTGGGTACCCCGGGTACCACTTGTTTGGGGGATTTGTAAAGGGAAACCAAAAGGAATTCCGCTTGGCCATTTTGCGGGGTCTACCTAAAGGAACATCACACCCAGTTGAATGAATGCCTGCATGTTGGGTGGCCAGGTAAAGGTCTGCAGTGGATGGATGGCACCATGTGGTACCACTCCACGAGGCTCGAGCGCCTTGTTGGTGTTAAAAGGAAACCCAAAGGACGCTGTTGCCATGTTTGAGCAAGCAGAGGGCCTACAACCCACTTCAAAATGTGTATACCACCCTAGGGTTTTCAGCACATTTTAAAAGCGCCCCCCAAATCTAACATAAAAGTTCATACATAAATTCTTGAAATTCCTATCCGCTCGCCAAATGCTTTAAGTTATCCATTTTGATGAATGACTTAAACCATTTCAAACATCTTTAACCTCATTCTTTTCTATATTTTCTTTGTGTCTGTAAGTGCGTTCGTGCTTTGGTTTATGTGTCCTTTTTATATCACAATTACATATATCGCAATGATATATTACTTGTTGTTTCCTTCTGCTCTTTTCACGGCACTTATCACAACGTTTATAGGGTTCAGTGAATAAGTTCACATCCTTATCTCTTTGACAACTAGAGCAATATTTCTTTTCCATAACCTCTACTACACTATACCAACAACCCTTTAACCCTTTTTACTCAGATAGGTTGAAGTCCCCTTATCCAAAAACCCCCAACAACAAAGAAACATAACAAAAAACCAAACAAGGAACAGAACACAGAACATTCCAAAGCAACCAACCAACGAAACATTCCAAAGAACTTTTCAAAGAGCATGAACAAAACCTCAAACAAGAACAGCCCCCCAGTAGTAGCACCAACGAAATCCGAAATAGCACCAACGAAATCCGAAATAGCGCCAACAAAATCCGAAACAACATCAAACCATTTCCGAAACAGCATCAAACCATTTCCGAAACAACATCAAACCATTTCCGCAACAGCATCAAACCATTTCCGAAACAGCATCAAACCATTTCAGAAATTGAAATACCTCGTAATTTGGTCATGATTAGAAGGAAAAGACATTTCAGGAAACGCAACAAAACATTTCAATTTTGTCTCCATTTCAGAAACAGCAACAAAACATTTCATAACCAGAAATAAACCAGCTCAAAAATGGAAATAATACTTACTCTGTCAAACTAACCAAGATTTCACAAATTAATTCACTAGGAACTTTATAAAGGTCTTCCTGTTTATGTTTAACATAAGTATCGCTCCAAGTTTCCTTACGACCACTAGGTAAGCGTTGTGCTGTTTCAATGTGTTTATTGTTAATCACTTTACCACAATCTTTATTACATAAACTTCTAGGCGTCCATTTGTCAAGGTTGTTCCATAACCTAGTTCTTTTCCTGTAATTAAAACCATATTTGCAATAATCAACATCATTGTATTTCAAACCACTCATAAAAGGTTGCATCTTCAATAATCCTGTCTGTGGATTTTCAATCACCCAGTATTTAGGTTTAAAGTAATCTATTATTTCCAGGGTTTTTAAAACAATACTGTTAGCATATTCAATATTTCTGATGCCAGTTGTTTTCGCTCTGCTGTATTCCGTGCAAGGTGGAGAAGACCAAATAAAATTGAAATGCCCTTTGTCAAATTCTTTGTAATTCCATTTCAAAATATCACAATTAATATCAGCATTCTTCAAATCCAATGATATAACATTAAAACCTAATTCTCTCGCAATTTTACCAACACTTCCAGTTCCGCTAAATAATTCTAATAAATTCATTTATTAAAGTTATTTAGAAATTAATCTAATGAATATTTACCGTTTACATCCTTAACCAGCTTGTAATATTCAATGGTTTCTTGTCTTGGCATCTTGATTTTATTGTCGTTAATCATTTCACAGTATTTCTTTCTTTTATCATCAAAACTCCCAGCTGGTCTGCCTAAGCCTTTCTTTTGAAAAATCTTATCAATCTTTTCCTTCTCATCAACATTATCTGCTATGTTGGCTTGAAACTTTTCATCAATTGCTGTTGTTAAATCTGTTATTGCCTTGATATTCTTATTCAACATATTTACCTTCTTTATCAACTCACTTAATGACACATTATCACTATCTGACATATATATTTATATATATATATTTATTTATTTATTTATGCGTTTAACGTGGTGTTAAATCTACTCTTTATATATTATTGTTTCATCATTTCACGTATGGCTTCCTGTGCTTCGTGTTCACCATTATCGGATGGAGTAGCGTTCCGACCCCATTTAAAAGTTATATTATGAACGTCTGTTTCTAAATTGATATCACCATCTTTGGATTTATCAATATTAATTTTCTTATCCTTCTTACTTATTTTGAACCCTATTGGCACACACGAACATTTGCAGTGTCCTTTCTTTTGTATTTCTAATTCATTTTTCATTTCTAACATCTTTTTGCATATTGGACAAGCAAACTCAATAACTGCTGTCTGATTAATAACTTCTTCACTGTCTTCATCAGTTGAAGAAACACTTAATCCTGTCTTATTCTTTTTGTTTTTCTTTCTTCCCATTTATATTAATATTTACATTTTTATTTTTGATATATTGTATTCCTAACTTAATTAATTCTAATGAATAATAACAACATTTTTTAGTTTTATTATCAGTTATTACAACTTGTTCTACTTTCTCTACTTCATCTATTATATCAATATAATCCGAATAACTCCTTTCCATATTAAATAATAAGATTAATTTATCTTATTATTTAGAATACTCGGGGTTCGCAATGGGTTTCTTCACACTGGCAACACAGAAAAGGCATCAAACTAATTCAAACTAATTAGCTTCAATGCTTATTGATTGAAGCAATGGACGCATCGGCGATGCCTCGCGAAGCTTCGCGACAGCCTGTTCCATTATGTTATTCACCACCACACATAACATAATGATGTTCCATTCAATAATAAATATAAATTATTTTCTAAATAACTTTAATATTATTTTATTATGTCAGAAGTTCCCATTATAAAACCGATAAACATAACTGACTATGAATTTAAACAGTCTAAATATGAGCACGTGCCAAAACTACCTTTTAGAAGCATTATAGTTGCTTCTTCCACAGGCGGTAAGACTGTCCTTATTCAAAATTTAATATTGAATGTTTATAGAAATTCATTTGCAAGAATATTTATATTTTCACCAAGCGTCCATAACGACCCTACATTTACAGAAGTTAAAAAGTATATCCGAGATGAATTACACGTGGATGATGAAAAAAAACAAATCTATTTTGATAATTATAATCCTACAGATTTAGAACATGTAATTGAAAGACAAAAGAAAATTATTAATTATATGAAATCTAAAAAAATAAAGAAACTACATTCAATATTAATCGTGATAGACGACCACGCCGATGACCCTAAATTTGTTAGATATAGTAAATTATTACACGGACTTTTTACAAGAGGTAGGCACGACGCCGTAAGTGTAATTTGTTCGACTCAAAAATATAATGTTTTAGCGCCAATCATTAGATTAAATGCCAGTTCATTATATATATTTAGGTTGAAAAATGCCAGTGAATTAATGAGTTTTATTGAAGAAAATAGCGCCATTGTTGATAAACAGCAATTATTAGATATGTATCATCAAGCAGTGAATTTTGCTCCATATTCCTTTTTCTACGTGAATATGAATGCTAAAGATATTAATAAGATGTTCCATATCAATTTTGAACAGGCATTTCATATTACAAATGATGAAAAAAGATATTCTAATTTAATATGATATATTAATATGGTTATAAAACAATGTAAATGCGGTGGATTTTATCGTAGAGGTAATTACAATTTTCATACTAATTCTTGGATACATAAACTTTATAAGGTATTGAAAAGAAGGGCAACGGACGAGGAATTATTAAGATTTCAAAATAATTTTATTGATGAAGAAGATTTAATAGATGATATGTGTAGCAATGCCTCAACAAAATTACCCGAAAGTGAAATGACCGATTATGATAGCAATTAATAATATTAATTATGGTTTAATATTATTAATTCAAAATAATGAATAGCTACAAAGATTGAGAGCAGGTAATTTATAATATATTTTATTTTTTTTACATTCATTAACTTTTTCTAATTTATTTATTATTGCTTTCAATCCATTTATTTGTATAATATCAATTTTTGACATTTCGCTTATCATCTCAATATCTATATCCTTTATTACGTTAATTGCTTCATCATCACCAATTTCTACTGGTTTTGATTTACTTGAACCCATTATATATAATATTATTTAGACTTTAATTTTTCAAAATTGAAATGTTGGTTTTCTTCTTCTTCTTCTTCGTCTTCAGTTGGTGCTGGTATTTCCGTTGGACTTTCAGACGAAGAACTATGAACAGTAATAGGTGGGGAACTATGAACACTAATAGCTTCATTTGATGAATTGCTACTGCTACTTTGTGCATTTCCTGATGTTATCTGATTAACTAAATCTGCAATATTTATTGTTGTTGCAATTGTGCTGTGTGATAAGTTTAATATTATATCTGCTACTGTAGCTCCGTTGTGTAGCATTATTTCTATCATTTTTGTCAGTTTGAACTTCTTTTCTTCTTCGTCGCTGTCCTCCTCCTCTGGTGGTTTCTTTGGCGGTGGTTCTGGCGGTTTGTTGTTGTCAAGCATTGTAGTAAAGGCTGACACCATTGCATCGCGTTGGTTTTTCAATGTTTGTGTTGCCTGTGTTCTTGTTGGCTCATTTCTTTTGTATGTGTTGTGCCAAAAGTTTTTAAGCATTATTTTAAACATATTGTCTTGGTTTTCCTTTACCTTAAACGCTTCAAATGTCATATTTAATTGTTGATTTGCATCATTGTATAACTTTTCTTGAGTCTCTCTGGTTTCTGTGGCGATTGTATCTGTGTTGGTTGCAATGTCAATAAATTCTCTCGGTATGCCCTTTTTCATCAATTTCGGTGGTTGTATTGTTGTTGAAGTGTTTGGTTTCATTAGGTTATGTATTGTAAAACTGTCGTCATCATATTTATCATTGAATTTCTGCTTCTTTCTTTTCAGTATATTTTTAGTTAATATTATCATTATTATTATTATTTATATATTATTTCTTACCTTTGCCCTTAAAACTTGCCTTGAGTTC